TGGGAGGAGGCCAGCAGTTAGCCCAGGATAGCCGGGAGGGGAAGGGTCCGACGTCGGCCACCCGCATACCCCCCGTTTCGCCCTGCTCCGCCGCTCCTCAGGCCGCACCGCCACTGGAGCCCCTACCCTGGCCCGGGGATGACGGACTCCGGGCCCGGCCAGCAGCGGGGGAAGGGGCTGAGTGGTCTCAGCCCCCGAGATGGGAGGGGCGATAATTTTTGTCGGCGGAGCTGAAGGGGTTTAAAGGGCGGCTCTTAAAGGAGCCGCAGAAGGGGCCCTGGCCCGAGGAGGCACCCCCCCTCCCCATCCACCTTCTGTGGCGCTCAGCCGGGGCTGCTGGGCAGAGGGGGGAAAACGGAAGGAAACAGTTGTCGGGGCGCCCCAGGGGACAGAAGCCCGCTTGTGCAGTTGGGCCCGAGGTGGTGGGCAGGGGTCGGGTGGGCGGGTGTGTGTGGTGAGCGCTGGCAAGCGGAGTTGGGGGGGGATGGGCCGGGGAGGAAGGAGTTAAAGGTGGGGCCATCCCTACAAACACGCGCACACACTCCTTACTCAGACCTGGTCACACGCGTTTCCCTGGCACTTAATAGGGGAAGCAGCGTGGGGGGTGCGCGGGGGCTGGGTCTGCGCCCGCTTCACCACAGGCTCCGCTGCCCATCTTTGGGAGGTCGCGGGCCCTACTATCTCAACTCACGCCTCAGGAGCCCCCTGTCCTACGCGCTCACGGGCTCCGACGCGCGCTCGCGCACACCTCGGACATTCCCATAGTGCCTCACGTGACACACGGCCCTGAACGTGCCCACCCTTCACACACGCTCACGCACGCGTGCACACACGCGCACATACAAACACGGCCACTTCCCAACTCCATCCCGACTCCCACCCGCAGCCCCGCGAAGGCACTCATTGACTGTGACACACCTACACTCATTCACAGACACACACATACACACACACACACCCACATATGCCAACCACAGACATTCATAAACAGGGCCAGAAGTACACAGGCACCCCCTTGCCTAGCCTACTCTTTTGGGAGCCCTGAGTCATTCCAGTCCCCTCCCCGGGCTGCCCAATTTCCCTGTGGGGAGCCCACAGGGCCATCTAGGGAATTCTTTGTTGGCCCTTTTCACCTGGGCCCTAGTCCTCTCTCAGAGCGCCCCCTTCTCCTCTGTGTATCCTCTGACACTCAGGGAGAACTTCCTGTGGGTCCCAGGTCAGGGGTGAGGAAGGCCTGGAGGGTTGCCACAGCCTGGGTGTGAGTGGGGGAGGCATTTCCTGTTCCTGAACTCTGGGATCCTGCAGGAGGAAGCTAGGAAGTTGGGCGGGGGCCCAGCAGAGGACATGCTGACAGTGGTGGGGCTGACCCTCCCAGAAGCACTGCGCCTTCCTTAGGGAAGAGCCAGGGGTGCCAGAAGCCTGGGATGAGGAGCTTGGCAGAGAGGTATTTGGGGAAGTGAGGCCTGGGATGGAGATGGGGCTGAGGGATGAGTCAAGGCAGACCCCTGTCTGGGCCCTATGCTGGGAAGGCAACTCTCTTCCTGTCCACTGGTCTCCCTGGGTTCCAGAAGGAGCCCTCCCTTGCTGCTAGCCTGGTTTATTTGTCCCTGCTTGTCACCCCCACCCCCAAATTTTACCTGGTTTCATCCCCTTCCCTCCAGGTCACAGAGAAGAGAAAATAGGGCTTGGTAGTCTGGAGGGGACTGTGGGAGATGGGGCACGACCAGGCTGCTTCTTAGCTGCTCACAGGCTCCTCGGGCCAGACGAAGGGGTATCAGGGACAAGGTTTAGGCTGCCCTTTCCACTATTGCTTGTGCTCTTCCAGGTGGCCCAGTGGGGGCCGAAGCCCAGGCCCTTACCATGGAGTCCATGTTTGAGGATGACATCAGCATCCTGACCCAGGAGGCCTTGGGGCCCAGTGAGGTGTGGCTGGATGCCCCTGGAGACCCCTCACTTGGGGGAGACATGTGCTCTGCCTCCCACTTTGCCCTCATCACGGCCTATGGAGACATAAAGGAGCGGCTAGGGGGCCTGGAGAGGGAGAATGCCACCCTCCGCCGCCGCCTCAAAGTCTATGAGATCAAGGTCAGAACTTAGAGATGAAAGGGATCTGGTTATGGGGGGTGGGGGGGGGGGAGCGGGGGGGGGGCTGTTGAGTGACAAGAACTGAGGATCCAAAAGAGGAGTCAGGGTACAGATTCTTGGAACTCGAGGGTCGCCCATGAGGGATGTGGCTCCTCTGGATGGGAACTCCAGAGAGCCCAGTGCCAATTAGGAAAGGATCAGGAGGGATCTGCTTTGGAGTGGTGAGACCTTAGATCTAAAAGAGATCTGGTTAGTGGGTGCCGCCTACAGGCGCATGAGAATTGGGATGTACAGATCCCACTGGAGAGGGGAGGGAGAAGCAAGGACTCTGAGGCAGATTGTGAGGTGGGGGCACAGCGAGGCTGAAGCCTGGGCAGGAAGCTGGGCACCAGCTCTCCTGAGGGCCTGCCCCACCCGCAGTACCCGCTGATCAATGACTTTGGAGAAGAGCACAGCTTCTCTCTGTATGAAATCAAGGATGGCTCCCTGTTGGAGGTGGAGAAGGTCAGCCTGCAGCAACGGCTCAACCAGTTCCAGCATGAGGTAAGTCCCTTGTAGGCCTTCTAGCCTTCCCTGAGCTCCTTGCTCCAATCAGTCTCTGACACTATCCCCACTCCCCAGCCTCTGGCCTTCTGTTCCCTTGATCAGAGATGGCTGTGGTCCTCCCTAGAGCCAGCTGCAGCTCCTCCTGCCCCTTCAGTGGGTGCTGAGGGTGGGATTGGGAGGCACAGGGAGCTACTCAGCTCCAAGTCAAAGATGGGCCTGACTGTCATGCATCCCACCCCTCTGGGTCCCATCCAGTTACAGAAGAATAAGGAGCAGGAAGAACAGCTCGGGGAGATGATCCAGGCTTATGAGAAACTCTGTGTGGAAAAGAGCGACCTGGAGACAGAGCTGGGGGAGATGGTGAGGCCCAGGGAGCTGGGGTGCTGGAGGGTATGACCCTGGTTGTGTGATTGCATGCCATTCCGTGTGTGTATGTGCTTGTGATGTGCACCCTGCCGTGTTCGTGTGTGTCTCTTTGGCCTTGCGAGTGGGGCTGTGTGTGTCGTCCAGGTTGTGAGTTACTGTGTACATCTTGGCCATGCAGTGACCATGCAGTGACAGGAGGTGACTGTGTGAGTGATCTTGTAGAACATTGTGTCTCTGCGTGTATGTTTGGGTCTCCTGCTGGGTCAACCCTCTGCCTATGGTACCGTGCTTGGAAGGCTGTGTAGGTGAAGGCAGAGGTGACCAGAAGTGTCTGTGGCTGCTGGGATGGATCTTGGCATGTGTGTGATTCTGGGTCAGGACATGACCATACATGTGAGCAAGTGGGCAGGAGTCCGAATCAGGAGACATGGTCTCTGCTGACTCTTAGCTGTTACCTACGGCATTTAGCTTCTGTCCGGCCTCTGAAAAGTGGAGCAAATAAACAACCTTGTTGAGCTATTGTGTGCATTCATGTAAAAATGCTTTGCTTTAATAATCATAAACACTTATCTCTTTGGTTAAAGTTACTCATTTTCATCCTCATAACAAACCTAAGTGGTAGGCATGGTTATCCCCCTGTTATAGATGAGATAGATGAAACCAGAGTGGTTGTCACATATGCAAATGGAAGTTACTATGGTCCTGAGGAGGTAGCAGTATCTGGACAGGGGGCCAAGTGTTCTTATAGGTGTCCCTGTGTGTTAGTGATGTGGAAGAAGCATTAACTTATACCTTGCTAGGGGCAGTAGCCGGAAACATCAGTTGCTGAGAGAGGAGACCTTGCACTCATGGCCACTTGGAGGGTAGAGGTGGGATGTGTGACCTGGGGCCTGTGCTCAGTTTGGGGGTGATGGCTATCCAGACATGGTGAAGTCCTGGATTTGGGGGTCCAGGGGGACACCCTGGCCCTGTGCAGACCCTCACCTCTTTGTCTCCCTCCTCAGCGGGCCCTGGTGGAGACGCACCTGCGGCAGATCTGTGGTTTGGAGCAGCAGCTGCGGCAGCAACAGGGCCTCCGGGATGCAGCCTTCTCCAGCCTGAGCCCCCCGCCTGCCCCTGCCCCGCCCTGCACTGATCTGGACCTGCACTACTTGGCTCTGAGAGGGGGATCTAGCTTGAGTCACGGTGAGATCTCAGTGATCCCTGGTTTCCCTACCCCAATTCCCCAAACCAAACCAACCCCCATTTCAACACCGTTAGACACCTCCAGCTTCTCAGGTGGTCAACACCCCATTATAATGCCTTAAATTCCCCCCATAATCACCCATCCCTCCTTGCCACCTCTTCCCTCACTTCATGCACTATTACCCCAATTTCTGCCAAGGACATATATCTCCCTCTCAACTCCCTCATCCCTCATGCAATTCCTATAGATGTCAGCAGAGGGCACCCCCACCCAGTGTCCCCCTGCCTGTCTTAGGTTGTGATTTAGGAGAGGCCCCTGGGGATGCTCTGAGACTTGAATCTGGCCTATGAAACCCTTCAAGAGGCCATCTTATTTTTTCCCTGGCCTCCAAGTGGATTAGAAAAAGCAGCTCAGCCCCTCCTTCCTCATTGCCCTCAGTAGAGGTATCTCTCATCCTGGGGTAGCTGTCTCTCTTGGATCCCTCATGCTGCAGGCCTCACCTCTTGCACTTTGTGCTGATCAGGGAGTCAGTGGAGGGTGCCCAGCAGCTGGACTCAGCCTGACACTGTTCTCTCCCCTGCTAGCAGGCTGGCCAGGCCCCACGCCGAGTGTGAGTGAGCTGGAGCGGAGGCGCCTGGAAGAGGCTCTGGAGGCTGCCCAGGGAGAGGCGCGGGGGGCTCAGCTTCGGGAGGAGCAGCTCCAGGCTGAGTGTGAGCGGCTACAGGAGGAGCTTAAGCAGCTGCAGGAGACCCGGGCCCAGGTAAATGGCAGTGGGGCACTGACCCCAGGCCCCTGCTCTGGCACTTCCAGAGCTCCACAAAAGTCTGGGGGCTGCTGGAAACAGTCTTTAGAGGTTCTGGACTTCCTCACTGGGTACAAACCAGCCCTGGGAATAGTAGAGAAGCGGAGTCTAGGCAAGGCAAGGTTGGCATTTGACCTGTCAATCTTCCCCCTTAGGATCTGGCCTCCAACCAGTCGGAGCGGGACATGGCGTGGGTGAAAAGAGTTGGAGATGATCAGTAAGTCATGTCTGTAATCCTTGACCTCTACAACCCGGGGGTGGCATTTCCCAGGTCCCCCATTTAGTTGACTTCTCCCCGTCGGCATTGTTTGGGGGACCTCTCTTCCAAGCTGGCAGGGCTGTGGGGTTTGGGTTGCTTGTGTGGCTCTGCATCTTTCACAGGAAGGAGTGAGGTTCTAGGGTGCTCAGGTTCGGGGAGGTTCCGTTTACTTTCCTCTGGAACCCAAGCCTGTGTCTTCTCAAGATGTCAGGGGTTGAGAGAAGCTTCCGCAGTGGTTTTGCTGCTGTGTTCTGTGTCTCCTAGTGAGTTTTTGGGCCTCTCTGGGGCTGCATTTTCTGTCCCAATAACAAGGCCCAGCCACTTGGGTTAACCCTTCTCTCCCTGACACGGAGGAAGGAGATGATCTCTTTCAGTATTTGTGGTACCTCATCTTCTATCTCAGGAGAAAGCTGAAGCTTAGGGTTGGAAGAGCTTGCTTGAGGGGAATTAGAGCATACTCTGCTGGGGTGTCCCTTTGGAATCCTGCCAGGAAAGAAGGGCAGCAGGAAGTAGGGAGGGGGCTGTGTCAGTGGGGAGCCTAATGGTAAGGGCTTCTGGGGCAGTACTGAGTGGCAAGGGAGAGGAGCGGCAGCCTGGCAGCAGAGAGCCTGATGCCTTTCACATCCGCACCCAACTCATCCTCTCCCACTTTCTGAGAAATAGAATGCAAATCTCCTTCCACTTAACTCCTCTCGCCGGAGATGAGGTACGTGGCACATGCTCCCTACTTTCATTGGAGAGGAAGACTGAGGCCCAGAGAGGGGCAGGCATTCACCCCCAATCACACGGCATACCTAGCTATAACACCCCAGGGGTCCTCCCCTAGCAGGCTTCCTCCTCACTTTCCTCCCAGCTTCTGGCCAGTTGGAGATACCCCTCACCTCCCTCTGCACCCTGGGGTGAGGGCCTGGGTGGAGCTGTGATAGCTGGGGGGTGAGAACCCAGTTTGTGGGACTGGTGGGTGGTACCCCTTAGCTAGTCTGCTATGGGGCGTTGGGGGCCTCTGTGGAGAGGGTCCGCCCTAGCTTGTGGCCGGGTCTCAGAGCCCATCCTTGCCCGTGTGCCCAGACCCGGAACATACACACACACACATTCTAGAATCTTAGCTTGCCCCAAAAGTCACACCGCAGGGCCTTTTATGGGTCACTGAGTCCAACTGCTCTTAGAAGACCAGCGGTGAAGATTCCCCTGGTTTGTTGAACCCTAAGAGAGAACTTTCGTGGCAGAGCAGGGGCCTGAACAGCCAGGCTTCGAATCCAGGACTGCTGGGCTGCTGAGTGGCTTCGCTTTAATGACTTTCCCTCTCTGGCCTCAGGTTTCCTTCAGGGGCTCAGAGGTCAGTCATTGCTGAGAGATGTGAGAGGAAGGTGATAGGGGTGAGGGCAGAGGAGGGATGGCAGATCCCAGGGGCCAAGGCTGTGCATGCTTGAGTGAAATAGAAGCCCTCCCATAAGGTGCTTTTGGAGGTCGGATCCTCCATTCTGGTATTCTGGCCAGAACAGCCTCGTCCCTTCCCACCCCAAGGTACCTGTCCCACCAGTCCCTTTGGCCAGAGGGAGCTGAACTGTGCTCTGGAGCTGGCCTGAGCCATCTTACCTCCCTTAACCTCCTGGCTCTTCCCCTTGTCCCAGTGGTTCAGGTTCTGCCTGAGGGGCTCCTGGACCTCTGCCCTGGAGTCAGCCAGGCCCTACCTGCCCAGCCTCACATTTCCTTCGAGGCCCAGCATCTCTGGACAGCCCCGGCTTGGCAAGAGTTAATTCTCAGAGGAAGTCTTCACTCCCCCGGTAGTTTTATTTTCTTATAAACTCAGCTCCTTTTAGTAATAGGCCGCTTCCCGGGTGCTCCCTCCCCTGTCCTCCCACCTGAGGAGGCCTCAGTCACCTGCTGTCAGCTCACTTTCCCCCGCCCGCCCCTCCTCTTCCTTCTACTTCTGCCTGACCCTCCGGGCTAGTGGGAATTTCACATGCATGTTTACCTAGGAGAGGAATTCAGGGGCTGGATTATTCAGGTGGGGTTTCGAAAGCTAAAGAGAGCATCATGGAAATTCCGGAGTTTGGTCGACTCTTATGGGGGAAACTTCTGTGTCCCCACAAGGTTCTTCCCCATTCTCATCTTGGACACCTCCAGGGCAGCCTGTTGTATTGCGGGAGTCCTGACTATTAAGATAGGCCCCCCCCACCCCCAATACTGCTCTTGCCTCTATTAATTCTCCTCCACAGGTCCTACTTATCCTGAAGCGGGCAGGCCTGAGAGGCAATCCCAGCCCGAAGGTTTCCCGGTCCCTCCCATTCCAGCCCCTGGCCCACAAGCTCTGGTCATCACTCTGCAAAGGGGACTAGACCAGACGAGACTGCCACCCTCTAGGTCTGACATCTGGGCAAGATCTCCCTGCCGTTTGGTTAGCCCAGCACCTGATAGCCAGTGTCCAGGGGGACAAAGTCCCCAGAGGAAGAGCCTCTGGGGATCACTTAGGGACCACAGGCAGTGATGAGGAAGGAGGTGGGAGTGGAGACCACCCTGCTCCTGAAGATACACTGGGAGGTAAGGACCCCAGGAGGGTCCCAGCTGAGATAGGAGGTGCAGAACCCGCGGCCCCCTCCCCTCTGGGCCCAGCTAAAGTCATAGGCCTTTCTGAGAGTGTGACCAGTTCTGAGGGTGGAAGGGAAATTGCGGAGAGGGGGCTCCTTTAGGTAGGCAGGGGCTCAGTGAGGGGAATGAGGGCCCAGTGAGGAGGAGGCTCATCCGTGAGGGGTCCACCGTGAGAAGTCATGGGGCTCAGTTTGACTGATGAGGAGGAAAACTATAGGTCTTTCTTTTTTCCCTACGTGGGGGGCTCAGCGCTGCAGCCTGAGCCCTTTTCCGCCCACCCCCCATACCCCTCTCTCCGCCCACAAGCCTCTGCGTGGGCTGCGGTTAGTGGTGGGGGAGAAGTGTGAACTCCGAGAGAGAGGATGGAAACTCTGCACAGAGGTCAAGGGCAGTGTGGGGTGGGTCAGGACGGAAGTCGGAGACCCCCATGTACCCTGAGCTTAGCCTCATGCCCCAGAAGCAGCAGGCCCAGGGCCTCCCCCTTCACGCTTCTCACCCTCCCTACTTCCTTTCTTTCAAGTCTCCTTCAGCCAGGGCACCTGGCAACCCTCACAGGAATTAACCCCTGAGTACTTGCAGCCTTGGGGGCTCCCCACCAGTGGGGAAGGGTTCTGAAGTTGGGGCCACCACTCCCACCTCATTGTGGTCTGAGGGATTGGTGGGCTTTGAACTGGTCTCTGGCCCTTTCCCTGCAGAGGCAGAGAGTAGCTTTTACCCACGCTCTCTCCCTACATGGGAAACTCCACATCCTCCTCTCATTCTTCAATGAGAGTCACTGAGCCGGTATCTCCAAAAAAAAGAGTCAAAACAGTTTCCCCATCTCCACCCATCCCCTGGGCACTCCCTTGGTTCTTCATCCATGCCAGACACTATGCGAGGTAATTTACCGACAAAATCTCATTTAATTCTCATAAAAAAAACATCGTGAAGGTATTGTCCTCTTTTACAGCTGAGCCAACTGAGGTACAAAGAAGTTCAGTAACCAAAGAAGTACAGATACCAAGCAGGTCCTGAGCACATGAGCTGAGAGTACCTGTGTGGTGTTTTTCCAGTTCAGGTTCTTCCTCAGGTCGAAAGCCCTTATAGGAGGGTGACCAGATCATTTGTTGATCAAACCCCATCACTTTTGAAAGTGAAAGGGGGCATTATTAATAATTATGCTGGGACAACTAGTCTGAATCAGGACAGTGCTGGGCAAATTGGGATGTGTGGCGCCCCCACCTAAACAAGGACTCCGGTTACCAGCCTCTCTGTGGGCTGCTCAGTTTGACAGCATAGGGGAGGCTGTGTAGACACAGTGAACTTCTGGCTGTGCTGGAAGCATGGCAGGGCTGCCATGAAGAGCCAGGCTCTGTGGACCACAAGTCATAGCTGGTCGAGGAGCGTGAAGGGGCTCAAGGCGCCTGAAAGGAAGTGGTGGAGCACTGGGTTGTTGCAAAGCAACTTCCTCCTCCCCCTGGCCCGCAACCTCAAGTCCGCTCCACGGCCTGGTGCCTGTGGTCCCCTCCCCAAGGGTCGGACTGGAAGCCTGATGCTGGGTGTGCCTATGTATAGTGGAAAGTTTGGTCCCTAAATTTACCCACAGGGGTGAGGTGGCAGGGGGCAGCTGAGGGCAGCTATGGGTAAGGATGGAAGGACTGAGAATGCTGGATTTCTGTTTTCCTCCTGATTCTGAGACAGCTGCTGATTGTGACCCCATGGCCAGCTCTGACCCTGATTGCAGTCCTAACCCTGAAACTGATCCCATCCCTGACTAACCCTATCCTTCATCCTGACCCCTACTCAAAATGACCACAATGGAAAATGAACTCTCAGCCCCGGCCCTAATTTGACCCTAACCCCAGCCTTAATCTTGACCTCACGCCCATCCCTAATTCTAATCCATGACTCAAATCTGGCCTGGATTCCAACTCTGAGGCATCCTCACTGTGGCGTCAGTGCAGCACAGGCACCCAGTGAACTTCCCTGGGGAAGTCTCTCTGCACTTGGAAGCTCATGTGTCTCCCAGCTGGTTTGGGGCAGAAAGAGGCCTTTTATAGAGGTCTCTACCCTTTCTCATGTCAGTATCTTTATCAACAACAGTGAAGATTATTATTTCCAGATCAAGTTTGGAGATCCCAGAATTACTTGTGGAAAGAATGAATGAAAGGATAAGTCAATGAAGGGTGGAAAGATTTCCAGCGGAAGGTGTCCGCCTTCTTGCCAACTCTGCCATTTGCACTCTGGCTCCTCTGAAGGTGCCAGCTCAGCAGGCTGAGGTGCCAAGAGCATGTTTGAATCCCTGCTGTGTGACCTTGAAGCAGCCTCTTACTAGCCCTGATCTTCCACTTCCACATATGTCTGGCACCTTCCTCTCCCCTCCCAGGGCAGGGGAGGTGGTGCTCGGGGCTCCCAGGCCACTTTAGAGCTGCCCAGCCTCTTTCTCCTCCTCATCTTTTCCTTCTGCTGCCTTCCCATCTCTCCCTTTCCTCCCTCTCCTAATGCTTTTGGAAGGTAGGATATAACTTAGTGGTCAGCAGCCTGGACTTTGGAATCCAGGAGGTCAGAGTTCCAGCAATTCCATTACCACTAGGCTTTATAACTTTGGTCAAGTGCTTAATCTCTGGAAGCCTCAGTTTTCTCCTCTGTAAAATAGAAATAAAAGTGACAACAGTGTAGGGTTGTTGTGGAGATTAAGTCAATTTCTTAGTACAATGCCTGGCCTGTGATAAGCAGTCATACAGATTATCTGTGATCCTTTTCTCCTTGGGTTCCTCCCAGGTTCTGGGACTCAGAACTTTCCCCCATAATTTAAGCAATGAAGAAGCACCCAAATGCAGCCATCTGCTGCCGTTCACCTGACCTATTCTTCCTGGACAGTCGCAATGGTGGAAAATAGCATTCAGGTGTGGGCCAGGAAGCCAGGAAGTGGAACGTGCATTCATTCAGGTGCACATGTGCAGCTCTTGGTTGTGTTGTGAAGTTGAGATTTTTTTCCACTGAATTGGCAGTGTTTTCTAATGTGAGTCATTCAGGTCATTAGTGTATTTCACAACCTGGGCCTGTGCTTGTTGAGGTAGGGAGAGATGCCCGATGAAGGGGGAAGTCTCAAAGAGCCATAGGCATCAAGAGGTCAGGTCCTGCCACCTTGACCAGTCTCGAGGTCTCTGCGAAGGTGGCCTGTGGTTCCAGGAGAACAGTCCTCGCCTGCCCCAGGCAACCAGGTCAGAGCTGCGAGGGGCTGGACACTGTGGGCCAGTAGCCCCTTCCTTCCATTTCTTGCCTGTCTGTTTTGCTGTGAGGAGGGTGCCAGGAGCTGGGCGGTGGAAACTGGGCTAGCTCCTGACAAGGGGAGGAGGGCAAGCAGGGGAGAGATAGGGGCCTGGGAACTGAGTGTGGCAGGTGAGATCTCCAAGGCGGGGTGTGAAGGCGACGACCTGTATCTGTCACCTGAGATACAGCAGTAACTGTGGATGGATGGGGAGAGAGACTGTGGCTGCTTGGTTAGAGGACACTCTATATCGTTGTCCTGCCCAGAACCTCTCCACCTTCACCACTGAGGGGTTAGTATGATCCTCCGAAAGCTTCCAGTCTGATGGGCAAAACAGCCCTCAGATTGCCCCAGGTCTGAAGCGGGAAGCCTTCTGTTGGGGAGTCCCCAGTTTAACATGGGATACACAGACTGGACTTTCCAGTCTGATGGGGGAGATGGCATTTTTTCCAATAGGCCCATGAGATCAGGGTTGGGGGACACAGGACACAGTTTGCAAACACAAAGACTGAGATGTGAGGGGATTGAGGGCTGTAGCACCTCAGCAACAGTTCCCAAAAGGATTCCTTCCTCTCTGCTCCTGTCCATCCCTGCCCACCATCAGATAGTGAGCACTCTTCCCCACCTAAGAAGTAGGCTTGTCCCCCAGAATCCTAGCCTGTTTGCAGTAATTTGGCTTTGGCCCAAATGGGTTAAAAATAGTTTTGCTGTGGGAGAGGCTGTTGTCTCACCCACCGCCCCGCTCTGCCCCAGGACCACTGTGAGACAACCAGAGAGTGGAGAGTGAGAGCAAGGGAGCTCAGTCATTATCTACCCTCAGTACCTCGGCTTTTCCTGCCTTCTGAAGCCCTAACCTCATGACTTCCCCTCCTCTCCTCTGGGGTCACACACACACACACACACACACACAAACTCGCGATGTTCCTCGCACTCGTCATACTGGCCTCACACCTACCTTCACTCCCTCCCATCCACACACATCCTCTCTCACATGTCTCTTATCATGGGATGGAGGCAGGGCCCTCAGGGTCTGGAGAACCTCCCACCCCATTCCTGCCCAGGGCCCTACAGCTCCTGGAGCTAAAGGGCCTCCTCTGAGAAGAGATCCACCTGGAGTGGCTGAGCCTTGGAGTGCCACTTCCTTCCAGCTTCAATTTCCACAAAATTCCAGAGTTCCTTTTGGACTTGGATCCAAGAAAACCAAAACCTCTGCTTCCCAGGCTCTGTTCAAGCCCAGAACAGAGGTAAAGGCCGTGACCCAAGGCCACAGCAGAGCCTCACGTGAGGTCAGGAAGGGCTCCCTGGAGGTGCGTAGGCCAGGGGGAAAGAGAGGGGCGGTACAGTGCTGAGAGTGATAATCTTCAGAGGTTCTGGTTCAAAGTGACCCAAAGGGAAAGGAAGTAGGCGAAGTCTTTGCCAAGCTCAGAGTCTGTTCCAGCTCTGTGAAGGTGGATGCCCAGAAGATCTGAGCAGGAAGTGGAGGAAGAAAGAGAAGAAGAAAGAAAAATGCATAGAGAGGCTCAGTTCATTATTTACTTACTGAACATCTGCTGGGTACCAGGCCCTGGACAGGGTGCTGGCAATGGAAATACAGTGATAAAATCCACACCTTCGAGGAACTTCCAGTGGAGTTCCAGAACAAGGCGACCTTTGATAAGTGTTCAGTGTGAGTGGCGCCCCCTGGAAGTGTGTGGTGCACAGCAGCTGTTTACAGAGATCTCTGCTTAAAGGGTTCCCTGGAGCTCCTGGGAGGTGCAAGGCTGAAAGGAGGTCAGGGGCAACTTTGAGGTAGAAGCAAGAGCAATGGACCTAGAACTGCACAGACTCGGGTTCAAGTTTATCAGTTGGCATCTCTGCCAAGGCAGGAGGCCACGTCTTCATTTATGGAAAGGGGCTCTTCATTGGTCCCCAGCCTATGAAGGTGAGGGTTCTTCGTGGACCCTCTGCCCCCAACACACATATTTTGCTTTCACTTCTAGTATGTCCTTTTTGAGAAAATTCACACTGACAAAAGCTACTATAAATTCAGTGCAGCTTTTTGATGAATCTGTTTTTTTCTTCATCACAGCTACTGTACAAATTAGAAAAACATTCACACATACACCTGTGTAAGATGTGTTCAGGCCAGACAGTGCTCGGTGACATATGGATTCAGGGGCTCCTGGGAATCACTGAGTTCCCCAGCCCCAGTCCATAGTTCAGGAACCTCTGCCATAGC